TATACGTAAACATGAGATGTCTTTCCATTTATTTAGGTCTTCTTTAATACATTTCAGCATGTTTTGTATGTCATTTTTAGTGCATGAGTCTTTAACTTTCTTGGTTAAATTTGTTCCAAGGTATTTTATTCTTTCAGATGCAACTGTAAATGGAATTGCTTTCTTATCTTCCTTTGCAGATTGTTCATTGCTGGCTTTTAGAAACACAACTGATTTTTGTGTGCTTATCTTGTACCCTGCAACTTTCGTGAATTTGTTTATAAGCTCTAGGACCTTCCTTGTGGGTTCTTTGGGGTTTTCTATATATAGGATCATGTCATTCATGAATAGACATAATTTTACTTCTTCCTTTGCAATTTGGATGTCTTTTATTTCTTCTTCTTGTGTAATTCCTCTGGCTAGAATCTCCAGTAATATTCAATACCAATGGTGAAGAAAATGGGCATCCTTGCCTCATTCCTGATCTGAAGGCGAAAGCTTGCAGCTTTTCACCATTGAGTATGATGTTATTTTATCATGTTGAGAATATGCTCTTCTATTCCTAGTTTTCTGAGAGTATCATGAAAGAATGTTAGATTCTGTGAAATGACTTTCATGCAACAATTAAGATGATCATGTAGTTTTTTTCCTTTAGCTCTATTAATGTGATGTATTACACTGATTGATTTTCTTATGTTGAGACACTGGTATACACCCCACTTGGTCATGGTATATAATCCTTGTAAAATGCTTTTGGATTTATTAGTATTTTGTTTGGGTATTTGTGCACTTATATTTTATAAAGAATGCAGGTCTGCAATTTTCTTGTGATGTTTTTATCTGGCTTTGGTATTCAGGGTAATGTTGGCCTCACAGAATGAGTCAGGAAGTATTCCCTCCTCTTCTATTTTTGGAAGAGTTTGAGAAAGATTGGTGTTAATTCTTCTTTCAATGTTTGGTTCAATTCAACAGTGAAGCAGCCTGTTCCCGAACGTTTCTTTATTGGAATGTTTTCATTACTGATTCAATGTATTTGTTATTAGTCTGTGGAGATTTTCTATTTTGTCTGGCTGGAGTCACTTCAGGTTTGCTTCCAGGAATTTGTCCATTTCATCTAAGTTATCTACTTTGTTGGCATACAATTGTGCACAGTATCCCTCTTATAATTCTTTTGCTTTCTGTTGATCAGTAACAAAGTATCCACTTTCATTTTGGATTGTGGTCATTTGCATCTTCTCTCTCTCTCTCTCTTGTCTAACTATATGTTTGTCAATTTTGTTAATCTTCTCAAAGAACTAATTTTTGGTTTCATTGATTCTATTATTTTTCTACTCTCTATTTTATTTACCTCTGCTCTAATCTTTATTATCTCCTTCTTTCTGCTATCTTTGGGTTTAGCTTGCTTTTCCTTCTCTAGTTCCTTAGGTGTATACAGTCAGGTTATTGACTTGAGATCTTTCTTCCTTTTCAACATAGGCATTTGCAGCTATAAATTTTCCTGTGAAGACTGCCTTTATGCATCCCGTAAGTTTTGGTATGTTGTGTTTTCATTTTCATTCATCTCTATTTTCTAATTTCCCTTGTGATTTCTTCTTTGATGGTTGTTTTAAAGCCTGTTGACTAATTTCCACATATTTTTGAACATTCCTGTTTTTCTTCTGCTATGGATTCCTAGCTCCATTCCACTGTGGCGGGGGAAGATATTTCATATGATTTCAATCTTTTTACATTTACCAAGACTTGTTTCATGGCCTGACATATGGTCTGTCCTGGAGAATTTGCCATGTGTACATAAAAAGAATGTGTATTCTGCTATTGTTGGGTAGAAAGTTCTATATGCAGATGTCCCAAGATATCCCTAAGGGAAGTTCAGGACCCCCCTTGGATACCAAAATCTACATACGTTCAAGTCCCTTATATAAAATGGTATATTATTTGCATAAAACCTATGCATATCCTCCCACATACTTTAAATCTTCTCTAGATTACAGTCATATGTCACTTAACGATGGGCATATGTTCTAAAAAATCTGTCATTAGGTGATTTTGTCCTTGAACAACATGTGTAGAGCCTCCTACACATCTTACAGCCCATTGCTCCTTGGCTACAAACCTGCATGGCATGTTACTGTACTGAATACTGTAGGCAACTGTAAAACAATGGTGAGTATTTGTATATCTAAACATAGTAAAGGAACAGTAAAAATATGGTATAAATGACTAAAAATGGTATACCTGTGTAGGGCATTTACCATGAATAGAGCTTGTAGGACTAGAAGTTGCTCTGGGTGAGTCAGTGAGTGAGTGGTGAGTGAATGTGAAGGCCAGGGACATTACTGTACTCTACTGTAGACTTTGTAACAAACATTATACACTTAGACTACACTAAAATTATTTTTAAAAAATTCTTTATTTAATAATAAATTAACCTTAGCTTACTGTAACTTTTTTACTTTATAAACTTTTAATTTCTTTTTAACTCCTTTGTAATAACACTTAGCTTAAAACACAAACACATTTTACAGCTGTATAAAAATATTTTCTTTCTTTATATCCATATTCTATAAGCTTTTTCCCATTAGTTTTTTTTTTTTTTTTTTACTTTTTAAATGTTTTTGTTAAAAACTAAGACATAAACACACATATCAGCCTAAGCCTACACAGCGTCAGGATCATCAAGACATCGCTAGGTGGCAGGAATTTTTCAGCTCCATTATACTCTTACAGGATCACCATAATATATGCAGTCCATGGTTTACCAAAATGTTGTCATGTGACTCATGACTATACTTACAATACTGAACACAATGTAAATGCTCTATAGTTGTTATATTGTATTGTTTTGGGAATACTGACAAGAAAAAAAAATCTGCACGTTTGGTACAGACAGAACCATCCATTTTTTCCCCCTGAGTATTTCTGATCCATGGTTGGTCGAATCCACAGATGTGGAAACCATGGAAATGGAGGGCTGACTATCTATCTATCTATTAGGTCTAGTTAGTTATAGTATTGTTCAAGACCTCAATATCTTTATTGATCTTCTGTCTATATATTCTATCCATTATTGGAAGTGGGATATTAAAGTCTCTAATCTTATTGTTTGTAGGGCTATCTATTTCTCCTTTTAAGTCTGTTAAAAAGTGTTCTTAATAAAGTGAAGGTTCCTACAATCTTTAAAAGGGCTAAAATATGTTTGAACTTTATGTGTGTATATCTCTTGACCAAGACATCCCACTTTAGGAAATATGTCAAGGAAACCAAAGCGTGGTGATAATCACACAGAATACTTATTGAGCCTCTACTACGTGCCAGGTCCTGGCCTAAGCACTTTAAATGCATTAACTTATTTACTGGGTAAATACGTTATTATTTTGAATTTATAAATGACACAGAGATGAGTGTTTGACAGGGGTAAATATATGTGATTCAGAGTGTTCAACACAGCAGTGCTTACTATAAAAAAACAAACAAACAAACAAACACTAAACTATTAGATAGAACGTGGCACTGAGAGTTAGAAAACCTGAGTTTAAATTGTACTCTATCACTTATGACTGTAAAAGTGAGACTCCTCTGGGTCTCAGTATCCTCGAATAAAAAGAATGCCTAAGATTTCTTCCAGTTTGCACTTTATGATTCTTATTATCCAAAGCACTTAGAATTGTGCTGGAAACAAAGCAGGCCCTGACTGAAAAGTATTTGAGACAGTGACGTAATGACTTCTATACACTAATCCTGCTCTAGAGGCCTAAATGTATACAGAAGACACATTTCTACTTTGTAAGCTAACGAAGACTGTACATTCATGATGAACCAAAATAAGCAAACTCCCAAAACAAAAACAAGAAATAAAATCTATATTTCTTCTTCTTATATTTCTATTTACAGCAGAATTACTTGTAACCACTGAAATTCAACTGTCAGAGAAAAAGTAAGTTCTGACCAGCTCTACCACATGATTCATTCATTGATTTAACACATTTGTTAAACAAATATTAAATATCTGGAACTTTGCCAGAGTCAGGTTAATAATGTATCTATGTTTTCAATAAGCTAGGTAACAGTGAAGGTGGGGATATACATTTCCAAATAAATAATTACAATAGAGCTATGCTACAGTTATTAACACAATTCTAAAGGACTACAGAAGGAGTATCTAGACTTTCTGAGATAATATTCATGTTGATTCTTTTATATTCTGGATTAATAAGATAATAGACCAGGCATGGTTCTGCAAGGAGTAGGTAAAATTAGGGGCTGATAGGCAAAGCAGAACAAAGAGGATGGACAAAGTTCAGAGTCAAAAAAGGGCAGACACTACATTCAGACTATTATTAATATTTAATGCTGTGAAAATATGACATCAATTTAATCTTAATTCACTGAGACATACATAATATTATTATTATATTAATAGTTACTGAGCACTTACAATATGTCAGCTTACAAATGTATGTATGTTCTCCTGACATGAAGTAGTTTTACAGATGAGAAAATTAGGGTATAAAGAAGGCAAATGTTTGCCCAGTGTTACACAGCTAGTAATTGGTGAAGTGAGAAATTAATACTAGGTAGTCTAACTCTAGAGATGACACAAGGATTTCCCTTGCAAAGCAACTTTTGCTGAAATGTATTATCCCATGCCCATTATCATCTCATCACAAATAACACAAGTGTCTGCAAAAGTACCCCTGAGTCATTTACAAGATAGATAGAGGGTCTAGTATCTAACCATGTCTATCATGCAGATTACCAGTACATCTTGTTCAAGCAATCCTTCATAAATATTCTAACTCCTTCCTGATACCTATTCCCCACCAAACATAGTCTTCCCTTTTCTTCAACATGATTAGGAATTCTATATCAGCTTCCTACTGGTAAGAGTGAGAATTAAAAATACTAGGTTTGAAGGGCAGCTAGTTCACTCTACACTGAATAGAGTATACAAGCTAACATTTCTATCAAGCCTAAAGAGAAGAAAATTGATTAGACTTCATAAAGGTGAAATTAAAAGATACCTTCAGTCCCTCCAATTCATTTTCCAGTTGCTTAGAATAGTGCTCACTCTGTTCACGCAGTTTCCTGTCTTTAGATGCTTCAGCAGCTAGAGCTTCTGTATGAACTTCCAGCTTTAAAATAAAATGAAAAAAGCAGATTTCATGGTTATAATTTTTTCAAACCAAACATTTTTATCCATGCAAATTTACCTTGTAATAGGAAGATAACTCAAATGTTGAAATTCACATTAAATAATAATATCAAACTATACAAATAACTTTTTTTAAAAAATTAGAGAAAAAATTACATATTGTTTCACTCGTCTCAAAAAGCAGCTTTAATCACTATCCCATGGGCACTATAAAATTTGCCTGACTACTAACCTCTTTTTTGGCTCTTTCTGTTCTGCGCAGTTCTTGCCTTAAGCTTTCAACTTTTTGCATCACCAGGTCCACCTCTTCTTCCTTATCTCGGACATGGCGAGCAAGTTTCTGTTTTTGGGTGTGCAATTCTGTTAGTCGCTCATTGATCTCCATGAATTCCTGCATGGCCAGTTTCCTCTGACAGTGTGCGTCTTTCAGTTCTTTGGATTGGTTTTTTAATCGCTCACTAGCCTGGACTAGTTCCTACAGTTTTGTAAAAAGAATATAAGTTACCAATTCTGCAACCTAGAGACCAAATCTGGCCACCAAAGTAGCTATTATTAAGTCAAGAAGAGCCAAAATTATTCACCTCAGGACAAAATTATAAGAAATGAACTACTTCTGAACAGATATTAAGGGCATGGTGCCCTATTTATAGTCTGAATTCCTTATGCTAACATGATAAATGCAATGGAGCTGCTGATTTAACGTTATAGTACCTTAGTTTCCACAAATGAGTAAAGAATATAGGAATATAAGATGTGATAGTCAAAATAAAGATTTTGTGAAATTTAATAAATACTTGTGAGGTTTCGTTTTTTTTTTTTTAAACATGAAAGACTACAAATAATTAAAAACACAAAACAAAACAAACTTGGGTTACAGGGTTGCCCTTGATGGGGAAACTAAGCCTTAAGCCAGAAGCAAGGAGAAAAAAACAAACCTGAGACTCCCAGCCTGAAGTGAGAAACTCAGAGGGGGGCTAAAGTAGACAGGTCAGTACAGCTACCTGCCTCCCAGTAAAAGGAAATGCAAATCTTCTTGAGGGGGGGGAACCTCGATGAAGTCTGAATTTTTCACACATTAAAAGCAAACAAGTACGAGCTTATAACCACAGATTCCCAAATGCCCAAAAAACAAACTACCATAATCAAACAACAGAAACAATAAACAATAAAAATAAACACCAAAGGTATTTGGATATTAGAACCATTAGATATCAACATAAAATTGCTATATATGAAATGCTTGAAGAATATAAAAAGAAACCATAAAAAAGGGAAAATGACAAAACACTATTAAAAATGACCACGCAGATTTACAGAAGAACTTTATAGAACATTTAGAAATGAAAAAAAAAAATGTGTTAAAACTAAAGACATGGATCTACCAATTTAGGAAGCTCTACATTTATGAAGCAAGAAAAATAAAAA